GGAATATGATTATTATCTACATCCTATACTAAAACCACAGATCTCAAAGTATGAATCAAACATCTTCTGAAGAAATCTGGTAAATCTGTCTTTTGTGACCTTTCCCTGTAAAACAAATACTTAAAAGTTCATAAACTTTACTGATGTCATCATTGCCCTATGCGATAAACTATCATCATCATCATCATCAATCATTGTCATCATCAACTTTGTCTTGTTTATTGAGATGGTGGGTGGCCAAGGGTTAAAAAAATACAGCGTCTTAGACTATATTAGCAGAAGTCAGATTCAAATTAGGGGCTTTCTCTTCATGGTTCTTAATTGCTGAATGAGAATATGCCTGAGTCACAAAATCTGGATTCTACTTAGACTCACTAAGAGTAATGTGGTTAGCTCTATTTCTTTCTTATAGTGGTTTAGGCATCTGTAGAGTATTTTCAGCATAAATCCAGAAGAATGGATTTGCACAGTGGCTGTCAGGCATGAAAGAGCAGGTCCACATGTGAAGGTTCAACTGATTTATTGTTAAAAGCCTATGTACAGTAATATACTCAACAAATAATCAGCATCTGCTTAGAGTTAGATAGGGGTCAACAGCACTTAAGCCAGGAGGGTGGCTTTAAATCTTCCTTTCCTGGCCTGTGCTGAAGTCAAAATCTTTGCCCTGTAAAGGAATATGGAATAGTAATCTCAGTTTGTAGGAACTAAAAGTATATTCCAATCAACATCTCACATAAATGAACACTTTTAAGATGGATTTTACCAGCACAGATCTGCCAGATTGTCTGATAGACTTCTGCTTGCTTTCAGCACAGCTAGAAATACACAACATCTTTTGTTTGTCTTTGAGGTGATGATTAAGAAATGTAGTATTTGTACTGTAGGACAGGTCCTTGATGGCTTATTTCCAGGTGGGTAGGACTGGAAAATATAACCGGAAAATTTTCCTATAGATATTAATGTTGCTCCTGTGGTATATTAACTAGCAACAGTGCACTCTGTTTGCTTTTTCTGTTTTTGCAAATGTCTGGAAGTATGACCAAATAAATAAGTAAATACATTGTGTACACAGACAAAAAAGGAGATTAACTTAGGGGCTCAACAAGGCAACTATAGAAGTTAAGCATTTATACATATGAAAAGTATCAATGCCTAAATAAGTGGTATTTTGAAACTCTGTTTTGACCATGGATATCAGCACAATAAAGTAATCCTAGGTTTGTACAGAACATTTGTTTACATAATGAGTAGCCTTGGAGAGTAAGTATGCAAGAGTTACTTGTGAATAATTTCATAAATGCTGAATTTTAATTTGATTACCAGTTTGTTTTTAAAATGTAAGTTTTCCATGTAGTAAGATAACATCTATCAAATCATTTGCACCTACTTTTTACAGCATAGAAGAACCTAATGAAAAAAGGAGGCTCTGCTATGAGGAGGTTATTCAGTTTTATTATAGTATAGAAAATAACTTATTTGAGTAACTCAAAAAAGCTCCTATTATCTATCTACTCATGAAACCCAGTTCATTTCATCCTACTGATTTAAGTGGCTCCATAATTAGACGGAAAAGACCTTCTGCATCTTAAGTAAACGGTTTGGGAACCACTACATTTGTTTATTCATTACATCTACCCAATTCTGGTAGATCAGGGCATGAATGGAGGGGTCTGGTTTAAAAGCTGCAAGAAAATCTTGCTTCTATGTAGGGGAATCTGGCACTTCACACCTTACATTTCATCACTATTTCGGCCTCATTTTATCAAGCTTATAGCTACAATTAGGATGGAAAAAGTACATGGCCTAGGATCTGGTCAACTGAAGGACCGCCTGCAGATAACAATCTAACCAGCCAATTTGATCCTGCAAAGTTGGCATCCTATGTCATCTATTGGGGCCTTGAAAGCACACCTTCTCTGTAAACAGCACTTACCCTGTGAGAGATTTCCCCCTGAGATTTGGATAGCTCCTCACTTTGCTGCCTTTGGCAAGGATAAGGGAGACCCCTAGCTTCAACCCATTAGCCATCTTTTAATCTTTTACTGCTTTTATTGTAATTTTTTGTTTGATTGTTGCGAGATGGCATACAAGTTTAATAAATTATTATTACTCAATAGTCTCTTGATATTTCAGCACAATTGAGAACTGTTCTCAAATTCAGATTAAGTTAAATTAAGGTTAAGGCAACTAAGTACATCTTGTCTAATGAAGAGATGACATGATTAACTATCTTCAAGTACATGAGGGTCTGTCACAGAGATGACGGGGTTGACTTATTCTCCAAAGCACTGAGGGCAGGAGAAGAAGCAAAGGGTAGAAGCTCATCAGAGGGAATTCAAACCTGGATATAAGAAGACATTTCCTGACAGGAATTAGCCAACTTTATTTTTATTTTATTTTATTTTGTCAAGCCATTATAAGATAGCAGGTATAAGTATAAACATAGTTATGAATACATGAAATGGATACATATAAGAAAAAGAAAAAGAAAAAAATAGGACAGGGACGGTAGGCACGTTGGTGCGCTTATGCAGGCCCCCTTGTCTCCCAGAGTTGTATGTGCTCCATTACTGGAAGTTTTCAAGAAAAGACTGTACAACCATTTGTCTGGGATGGTATAAGATCTCCTATCTTGAGCAGAGGTTGGACTAAAAGACTTCCAAGGTTCCTGAAATCTAGTCTATTTTCTGACACAGCTGAAGTGATACTTATTTCCTAAAACAGCGGGTCCCAACCTTTGTGACTTGGCGGCCTGGCTGGGGAGGAGAGGAAAACTGGGCTGTATGAGCGGCAGGCCGGCGCATACGCACGCAGCTCCACTCACACAAGATAGAAGAGAAGCCTTTGGAGTGCAGTCTCAATTGCTCCAGGTTTCTTCCTGGCAAAAGTTTTTGCAAAAGACGGAAGGCCTGAAGCAGTGAGAGATCATTCCCCCAAAGCCTTTCGTCTGTTTGCAACAGCTTTTGATGTGGAGAAGTCTTTGGGGCTGTGGCTTCGTGCTCCTTCAGACTCACCAAGGCTGCCTGACATTCCAAAAGCAGACTGGGTGTTCTGCGTAGGCAGCCTCAGTGAGTCAGCAAAGCTGAGCAGGATATGCTCGTCACACTCAGCCTCTGCTCTCACCACTCCGCTTTTGAAGCATTGGGAGCAGGCGACTTGGCGGCCCAGCTGGGGTGGAGGGGAACCAGGCTGCGAAAGTGGCAGGCTGGCACACATGCACACCTCTACTCACACAAAAGAGAAGCCTTTGGGATGCCGCTTGCACAAGTGGGGCTGCGTCGACGCTTGTGCGGGCGGGACTGCAAGTGTGGCCGCTTGTGCGAGTAAGGCTGCGAGTGCTAGCACCCACCACTCATGTGATTGGGGCTGCATGTGCGCCAGCCGCTACTCACGCAGCCCAGTTGTGAATAGGCCATGGCCTGGCAGTGGGCCACGGCCTACAAATTGGGGACCCCTGTCCTAAAACCTAATCATTTCGGTGAGACTGTTGAAAACAATATCTTTTCTCAAAAGAGTCATCATTACCAGAGTTTGTTTTTAGTAGCAAGGCAGACCCTGTGAGCAGGAGCCATGCCAAGACATTTGGCCAACAGATAAAAGGATTCTTATTTCAGCAGACTTGACTTATTTTAATTTTGTACTCTACATGTTGCACTGGCATTAACTCTTGGATCTTTAATACTAAACTATGACATTATTGTGGTTATGATTTTATTGCATATGTTTATTCTATACAGTGGAGCTATTTTGATGGCTCTGGTACGTGAAACAAAAAAATAAAAATAAATAAATAAATAAATAAATAAATAAATAAATAAATAAATAAA